TGGAAAGGCGGATAGACAGAGAGGAGGAAAGACAGAGAGGAAGATCTTCCGTCCGATGATTCACTCCCCAAGTGAGCACAACGGCCAATGCTATGCCAGTCCGAAGCCAGGAGCCTCTTCTGGGTCTCCCACGCGGGTGCAGGGTCCCAAAGCTTTGGTCTGTCCTCAACTGCTTTCCCAGGCCACAGGCAGGGAGCTGGAAGGGAAGCGGGGCTGCCGGGATAGAACTGGCGCCCATATGGGATCCCGGGCATGCAAGGTGAGGACCTTAACCACTGCGCCACCGTGCCGGGCCCAAAATTTATTTCATTTAATTGAAAGGCAAAGTGATAGAAAACTTTTTATTCCTTAGTTCGTTTCCCAAATGGGCCACAGCAGTCAGGGCTGGAGCAGACCAAAGCCAGAAGCCAGGAGCCAGGAGCTTAACCCCATCTCCCAGTTGGATGGCAAAAGCCTGGATACACGAGGCCAACCTCTGCTACTTTCTCGAGCACATTAGCAGGGAGCTGGATGGGAAGTAGAGTGGCTGGGATGTATGTGGGATGCCAGTGTTGCAGCTGGTGCCTTAACCACTGCTGGGCGATGCTGGCCCCTTGCCCTTCGCTTCTCTTTCTCCTTCCACCACTCTTGAACAGGGGCTGCCCTTTCCCATTGCTTGTGGAATACCCTGAGCTCACTAGTCCCAAGCACTGCTCCTTTGGAAGTAAATACTTTTTAAAAAATATTTCATTTTTATTGGAAAGGCACATCAGATTTATAGAGAGAATGAGAGACAGCTCTTCCAGCTGCTGCTTCATTCCTCCAGTGGCTGCAATGGTTAGAGCTGAGCCCATCTGAAGCCAAGAGCCAGAAGCTTCTTCTGGGTCACTCATGTGGACACAGGATCCCAAGGCTCTGGACTATCCTTGGAAGCTTGGACATGAACTGACACCCAGTGGGTTGCGATGCTTGTTGGTAGAGAATTAGCCAATTGAGTGCTTTAAAAAAAGTTTTTTTTTTTTTTAAACTGCCTTTGGAAAGGCAGTTATATACACAGAGAAGGAGAGACAAAGATCTACTGTTTGCTGGTTCACTCTTTGAGTGACCACAGAGGCTAGAACTGAATTAACCTGAAGCCAGGAGTCAGGAGTTTCTTCTGGGTCTCCCATGTGAGTTCAGGGACCCAAGGCTTTGGGCCATCCTCAACTGCTTTCCCAGATCACAAACAGAGAGCTGGAAGGGAAGTGGAGTAGCTGGAATATGAACTGGTATATGGGATCCCAGTGGATACAAAGCAAGGATTTAGCCACTGGACTATTGTGCCAGGCACTAAGTATTTCTTTTTAAAGTACAATGTTTATTTGTTTGAAAGGATTGCATAGAGAGGGAGATTTTCTCATGTGCTGGTTTACTCCCCAGATGGCCAGTGGTAGACCAGGCTGAGCCAAGAGCCCAGAGTCTGGAGTTATGATGTAAGAGCTTCATCTGGATCTCCCATGTGGATGGCAGGGGCCACTTTGGGCCATCCCCTGCTGCTTTTATCCGGACCATTATCAGAGAGCTGGACTGGAAGTGGAGCAGCTGAGGCTTGAATCAGCACTCATATGGGATGCCAACATTACAGGAGGTGGCTTAGCACCTGGAGAAGCAGAGAAAGCAGTGGAAGATGGCCAAATGCTCAGGTTGGAAAGAAGATCTTCTTTCTGCACTTTTTTTTAAGGTTTATTTATTTTTTATTGAAAGTCAGATTTACAGAGAGATGGAGAGAAAGATCTTCCATCCACTGGTTGACTCCCCAAGTGGCTATGATGGTTGGAGCTGAGCTGATCCAAAGCTACAAGCCAGAGTGCACAGTATGGAATGTCATGGTGAGGTTGCCTGTACTGGATGTGGCCACAGCACCCAACCAGCACACGTGAGAACCAGGAAGGGAGGGGGCAGAGCCGGCAGGGGCAATAAGGGAAGTTACCCTTGCCGGACAGCTACTCCCACTGGAGAGCGTGAGCTGGGATGGGGGCAGACCAGACTAAGCAGGGCTACATCACCTGTGCACCTTATGTGGACTAGATCAGGGAAAAGCCAGGCTGAGCTGATTATTCTTACTGGTGCAAGCATAAATTAGAGTGGGTGAGAGTTGTTTGGACTTAGCCGCAGCATCAGCTGGCAGAAGCTGGCACTGGGGGCTAATTCTGTTAAGTCAAATGCCAGAACCACCTGGAGAGTGCATAATCTGGGAGTGAGAGGGACCTGGGAGGGAAATAGTGGGCTACTCCCTCTTGGGTTACCACTCCCATGGAAGGGCATGAAAACTAGAATGGGGGCTGGGGTGGCTAGACAGAGAGGCACTCAACAACATCCGTGAGGGCTGGATAGCTGAGCCTGGTTGGATGGAACTAAGCTTCAATACCCATCAACATGTATGAGAGCCAAATGGGATGTGGGACAGACTGGACTGGTCTGCTACTCATACTGGCAAACCAGGGTAGTGGGCGGGCCTGGTGGGGGTTATTGTGGGTCGCTCTGACTAGGCTGCAGCCCACACTGGTTTATGTGAGGGCTGGACTGCAGCACCCATGGGCTCCAGTGGAAGTGGGGTCTAAAAACAGAACCAACCACCAGCTGATTGGAGCAATGGACTGTACCGAGCCCTGTGCTTGCTAGAACACGCAAGAGTCTAGTCTGGGAATACCTCAAAGTTTCTTTAAGGATATCCCCAATCGAAATGCTGGACTCAGAACCCTAACCAAGAAAAAGACAGAAGACAGAACAAGTCAATCAACCACCTCAGCTATTTGTGGGCAGCGAAATACTGGGCAAATGGAGACTCTATGAGGAACTGTGTCAATCAGTGGATCCTTCAACCTCATCATGCTTGGAGTGGTGAGATTGGCAGCGATTCAAAAATGGTGAATTATCAAGATCACTTGAGCAAGAATCTCAGAGCATGGCCCACATCCGGGACCTGGGGTGGGTGGGAAACTGGGTGGGGCTTCTCCCTCAGTAGTCCCCTTTACCTCAGATACATGAAGGAAACAATATGGAAATAATAGTCTTACCCACTTCCCTATAGCCCTTGAATCTTTTACCCTAATTAACTATGTAAAGATTGTCAAAAATATAAAAAAAATATAAAAATAAAAGATATTCCATTTAAAAAAAAATGCTAGGAGCCAGGAGCTTCTTCTGGGTCTCCCACACAGGTGCAGGGTCCCAAGGCTTTGGGCTGTCCTTGACTGCTTTCCCAGGCCACAAGCAGGGAGCTGGATGGGAAGTGGAGCTGCCGGGATTAGAACCAGTGTCCATATGGGATTCCAGTGCTTTCAAGGCGAGGACTTTAACCAGTATGCTATTGCTCCGGGCCTGGGTCTTGTACGTTAATTATGTAAGCTGCTATCCAGTTGTCCCAACAGCATTTGTTGAAGAGACCAGGCTTTTTGCCTGAGTTGACTATACATGTGTGGGCTCCCTTCTGGTGTTTCTATTCTGTTCCACTGATCTTTGTTTCTGTACCAGTACCAGACTGTTTTGATGACTACTGCTCTGTGGTGGATCTGATTTATGCTTGTACCAGTAGGAACAATCAGCCCAGCTTGGCTTTTCCCGGATCTAGCTCACATGAGGCCCACATGAGGCCCACATGAGGCCCACATGAGGCCCACAGCCCTGCCTGGTCTGGTCTGCCCCTATCTCAACCCAACGCTCTCCAATGGGAGCGGCTGTCCAGCAGGGGGGCCCTCCATATTGCCCCTACCGGCTTTGCCCCCTCCCCCCCAGGTTCTCAGGTGTGCTGGTTGGGTGCTGAGGCCCAGTCTAGCATGGCCTGCCTCGCCTCGGCATTTGCCAGTGGGTGCTGTAGCCTGGTCTGGCCCGACCCACAACAGTGAGGTCAGGGTGAAACTAAAGCCAGGTTTCCCAAACTCAGTTTGCGTGTTCCAACTGGCTGATTGGGACCCAAGTACTTGGCCCTTCCCCTGCTGCCTCCTGGGTGCGCCTTAGCAGGAAGCAGAGCAGAGATCTGAAGCCAGGTGTCCTAAGCAGTGTCTTCACTTCTGTGTCAGAGTCATGGGACTGTGGGACTCCAGCAAGGACGCGGATGGAGTGGAGGGAGGTATTGGGACAATTGCACTTAGATGGGACAGAGAGCGAATCTGATCTCTCTGGGTTACTTTTTTTTTTTTTTCAATCTTTTTTCCCCTCAATGTACCCATAATTCAGGCGCATTAAAGCACAACTGGAGAATACCCTGTGCAGTGGAGCAGGCAGCCTTCCTGTGTCACCCCTTCTGTGGGTGGGCCTGAGGGTATACTAGCACACCGACGAGCCTGCTGGCATAACATGTCATCCTGGTGACCCCAGAAAATTCTCCCAAGTGGCTTCACCTGGATGATAGGATGTTAAGAAATCCAAGTCTGTCAAAGGAGCTCATACCCAGTCCGTTCCCTGATCCCATTTGTCCTGGGAGAAATCCAGGCTCACCGTGGGCTGGGGGAACAAGCCTTTCAGCCCGGCGATGGAGACACCTGCAGCCCATGCTGGAGTGCCTGCGGGTTCGCCAGGCTTGGCTTCTGACTCCAGCTTCCTGCTAATGAGACACTGCTCTGGTCGGAGTGCTGGGAGATCTGGATTGAGTTCCTGGGGCTGCTGGCACTTGAAGAGCCAGCCAGCAGATGGACATTCCCTGGCTGGGGGGAGCAGTGCGGCGGGTGAGAGAGAACTAGGGTAGACCTTGTCCCCTCCACAGAATAGCAGCAGAAGGCATTTCCACGGGCCCGGGCCAGGTGACCATTCTTTTTATCGCAATTTGCCATTCCCAAGATCCAATGGGTGGCAGTGCAATGGGAATTTCTCCTAGGATCCGAGTAGGAGGGCAGGGAGATGGAAGCAAAGTCAGGCCAGACAGGGGCTCTGGCGTCATAGAAAGGGCGGGCTTCCGGGCCAAGTACTAGAGAGGAGGCGACGGGACGGGGTATCTGGTTGGGCCAGATCCCACGGACAGACATAACAAGGCCAGTCCGGAATGCAAAGAACAGTTTATGCTGTGCTTTATTAAAATGTGCATCATTCTTTTATTTTAAAATGTGCATCATTGTCTCATGCTCGGCGCGTGCGACCTCAGCGGGGTGGCCCGCGGAGGGCCTCGTCCCCGCCCGGCTCCCGTGGAGCTGCCGTGCGCAGGCGCACTCAGGTGGCGCGGGCCCGGGGGCTCCCGCCCATGGCCAGGAAGACGTCGATGGGCACGTGCAGCAGCGTCAGACAGTGGCAGCCCGGGCAGCGTCGAAGCGGCCTGGAGAAAGTGGGGGCGCTGAGGCGGGGGCTCGGCGGAGGTCTTGGGGGTGCACCTGAGGTTCACTGAGGTCCCCACGAGGAGGTGGGGAACCCTGGGGGCGCCAAATGGGAAGCAGGGCGGGGCGCCGGCCTCACCTGACCGGGGTGTGCTCCGTAGCTACCGGCTCCGGGCTGTCCTGGGACTCGGGGACGGCGGCCAGGCCAGGGGAGTCTCCGGCCTCAATGGGGAATCTTCGACCCTGCGGGGGCTCCTGGGCACTCATGTCCAGGCCCCGGGACGCTCTGCGCGGGGAGTGGCTGTCAGGCCGCTCCCGGGCCGCTGGGCGACCCCCTCCCCGCGCTCGCCCCTGGGTCTTTGCTCACCTGCCGGAAGCCGAGGCCGCTCCCAGGCTGGAGGCAGCTGCCCGAGCCCTGGCCGCGGGAGGACGCTCCGGTCCAGGCGGAGCCGGGCAGGTGTCTGCGGCGCGCCCGGGCTCGGGTGTCGAGGGGGAGAACTGCATTGTGACCCGGGCAGCGGCGCGCTGACCTCACAAAGCCCGTTCCCCACGCCGGGGAACCTCCTGCCGCCTCTCCACTCAACCGGGGCCCCCCGGAGTCAGAAGCCAGAAGGCGCTCTCTGGCGCTCGCCATGGTGCCTTGACATCGGCCTGCACAGATCCCTAGCCACCCGATGGGGGCGTGGGCGGCATCTACGCGGAAGAGCCGGGCCAGCCGGGTCCACGCAGACACGCTGGGCCGCCCTCCCAGGCCGGGCTCGCGACTCGCTCCCTGGCCCGCCGGGGGCTGAGGCGGTGGTGGTTTAATTCCTGCTGGACATGGCCACGGGGGTGAGAGCGGGTAGTGCTAAGGCTCATTTTGGCCAGGGGTCACACAACATTTACATCACAATTGGGCAAGAGTTTTTAAAATGTCTGACTGTCTCCCTCTCCCCACCGGCGGCTGTGTGCAGACGGAGAATGCTCTAGCGCTGGGGCGGCTGCGGATGAAGTCCTTGGGGAGTAAAGGCCCGGGCCAAGGGCGATGGTGGAGTAGAGCTGCCTCGCAGAGGCAGCATGAGCTGAATGGGTGACAGGAAAGAGGCGCTAGACAGCATGGAGGACTTTCTGCTCTCCAATGGGTACCAGCTGGGCAAGACCATTGGGGAAGGGACCTACTCAAAAGTCAGAGAAGCATTTTCCAAAAAACACCAAAGAAAAGTGGCAATTAAAATTATAGACAAGAAGGGAGAGCCAGAAGGTGAGCTGGGGCCCTGGGGAGGAAGGGAAGGCTGGTCGAGGTGGGTAGATGCTTCCTGGCTCTGGGGCTGGAACCTGGGAATGCCAGGCAGAAGGGACCCAGGGCCTGTTGGCATGGAACCGAGGGATGCTCCTCCATGCAAGCGGCACCAGATGGAGTCCTCAGAGGCACAGTTGGAGCCTGCCAGGCTCTTCCTGTCCCAGGAGTGACCTGACACTTGCAGAGGTCACAGCCAGGGCTAGCAGGAGGCAGGAGCTGGTGCCAAGGTAGGTGGTGGGACAAAGGCAGACAGGGTTCCTGGGGAACAACTGTGGGTCGGTCAGGAGGCAGGGACAGGAGGAGCTGGCTCATCGCCCCTGGGGCAGGTCAGGTATCCCAAGAGACAGAGTTAACTTTCTCCCCAAATCCCCAAGGCCCCTTGCTGTCTGTGGTCTCCCAGTCCCCTCAGTAGAGTGCTGAGGTTAGCAGGCAGTAGTTCCACCATGTAATGTAAAGGCAACAGTAATTACTACAAATGCAACACGAGCTGCTGTTCTTGCATCATCCAAGGGGCCAGGCACACTCAGGTGGATTAAGGGAGCCAAGGAGCAGGACCTGGCTGTGGTGGGCAGTCGGGAAGCCGCGAGGCAGGGGACAGGAGGAGTTGGGCCCTTCTGAGTGGGAGAGCTCATCTCGCATCCTCTTGTTTCCTCAGAATTTATCCAGAGATTCCTGCCTCGGGAGCTCCAGATCGTCCGCACCCTGGACCATAAGAACATCATCCAGGTGTACGAGATGCTGGAGTCTGCTGACGGGAAAATCTTCCTGGTGATGGAACTGGCCGAAGGAGGGGATGTCTTTGACTGTGTGCTGAATGGGGGGCCGATGCCTGAGAGCCGGGCCAAGGCCCTCTTCCGTCAGATGGTTGAGGCCATCCGCTACTGCCACGGCTGTGGTGTGGCCCACCGGGACCTCAAGTGTGAGAACGCCTTGCTGCAGGGCTTCAACCTGAAGCTGACCGACTTTGGCTTCGCCAAGGTGTTGCCCAAGTCCCGCCGGGAGTTGAGCCAGACCTTCTGCGGCAGCACAGCCTATGCCGCCCCCGAGGTCCTGCAGGGTGTTCCCCACGACAGCAAGAAGGGTGACGTGTGGAGCATGGGCGTGGTCCTGTACGTCATGCTCTGCGCTAGCCTACCTTTCGACGACACGGACATCCCCAAGATGCTGTGGCAGCAGCAGAAGGGGGTGTCCTTCCCCACGCATCTGGGCATCTCGGCCGAGTGTCAGGACCTGCTCAAGCGGCTCCTGGAACCAGACATGATTCTCCGGCCTTCAATCGAAGAAGTTAGTTGGCATCCATGGCTAGCAAGCACTTGATAAAAGCAATGGCAAGTCCTCCCCAATAAAGTAGGGGGAGAAAGCAAACCCAAAAACGGCTTCTAAAATGGTGATATATATATACTTACAATGTAAGATGTTTTATCCTAAAACTTAACTGTACCCTCCCCAGCTTTATTCCTTCACACGCTCCCCTTTTATTACAGCTTTTAAGTGGGTTCCACAAAGGTGTTGTAACTAAAATAGACCCCAGAATCAGTTTCTCTCTCTCTCTCTCTCTGTCTCTCTCTCTCTCTCTCTCTCTCTCACACACACACACACACACAGAGGAAAGGAGAAAAATGACCTGGTGCAATTGGGTCTATTGTTGCAACTTCCTTTCCAAAAAGGAAAAAAAAAAAAAAAGCAGAAGGAATAAAAATAAAAGCAGAAGCCATGATGGAGAGACCTGCGGGGGCTGTGCCCCTGCTTCATTCAAAGGCCAAGCTGTTGTGACCAGTCCAAGGGACTTGTTTGGGACCCAGGCTCTTATCCCTGCATTCCCCCACCCCCACTGCTCCAAACAGGAAGTCACCCCCACAGTGTGTCTGCCCTGGCTCCGCTGAGCTGCCACGAGGGAAAGCCAGATGCCTGGATAGCTGGTTCAGTCTCTTTAATGCTGTTAAATGGCATTTCTGGAAAAGGTTCCGGATGAAGTTCTTTTTTCTTTCTTTTTTAATTACAAAACTAATAGCTGTTAGAACTTTTTTTTTTCCTTTTTTTCTTTTCCCAGCTAAAAAATACTCTGGGCAGATGCATTATAATTTAAAATATATAATATTGCACAAACAACCAAGAAGTTAAACTAAAGAGATAATTACAAAGAGAAAAACCCTATCCCATCAGAAAAAGATTCCATATCCTCTCCCTCCCACCAGATCCCCACCCTCTCCACGGCCCTGGCCACCATCCTGTTATATCACCAGCAAAGCCACCAGCCTTTGTATAAACCCAGCAGAGCAGCATCATGGAGCGCCAGGGTCCCCAGGAATCCCTGTGGTCCCTCACACACCTGAGGGGGTGCTGCTTTACCAGAGCACTGTGGGCAGGCAGCGTGAGGGCTGTGACTGCCAGTGGGAGGAGCTGCTGCGCAAGTCTGAAGAGTACTTCAGGGTCACCCCAGTGCATCCCTTCCGGCAGCTGGGGTGCAAAGAGGACAAGCTGGACTTTACCAAGTTTGAAGCACATATCTCTGATCAGTGCCCTGTACCGCTGGTCGTGGCTCGTGCCCTAAGCTACAGGGGAGCCAAGGTGGGTAGCTGGTTGGACAAGGTATCCTGCCAGGCAACGCACAGGAGGGCCTGAAGTGGTCCACCCCTCCCCCCTCTGGGGGAGGGGATGTAATGCAAGAGTGGCCTCTTGCAGGTGGCACAGCTGGGCTAAGGACTTGGGTGCAGTGGACACGAAGCAGCCCTGGGCAAGGGCCAAGGACGTCCCAGAGTGGGCTGGAGCAAAGGGGGGAAGGTGGCTCAGAGTTTGGTCTCTAGGTATGAACCCCAAAGGATTTTGCCAGGAATGGAAAGTGAGACCAACTTCCCAGAGGTGAACACCTCACCTGCTGGGACAGAACCAAAATGTGCTGGCCATCCCCGTGTAGCTAAGGGCAGGTGCCATGGTCTTCCGTGTCTGTTTATGGGTGTGGTCTTGGCTTCCTCCAAGAGACTGGTGGTGTAGCTTCGGTCTAGAAGGGCTGGAGCTGTCCTGTGGGACTTCCCAGCAGGCGCCCCAGGAACAGTGGATGTTGAGCAGAGAACTGTCGGTTCTCCAGTGAGGTGTGTGGCCTTCCCGTTTGGGTCATCCTAGAGTTGGCACAGATCAGAGTTCCTGGTTTGGATTTAGAAAGCCTCTTCTCTGGGGTACACATGGGCCCAGGGGGCCAGCAGGGAGCCACCCGGAATCCGTGCCCAGGGCTCTGGATGGCCGAGGCCATTTGGGTCAGTCAGTGTCTTCCAGGGCTGGGCTGAGAGCGCAAGGGAGGCAGGAGGTACAGTGGGTGTGGGAGCTGCTTGCTCCCGCTCACTCCCAGTCCTCCCACTCTTCATCTTCCAGCTGCAAATGGGGAGGGGGAGAATGGAGAACACAAACATGCAGTTACTTCTAGGAGTCCAGCCCAGACCCAGCTCCCTTCACCGAGCACAGCTGCTCTCCGCCCCACACCCCGGCTCGTGAAAGTTCCTCTGCTCCACACGCCCGTCCCTGCTGTGAGAGGGAAGTCCTCAGACTCACGGAATGTGGCTGGGGATCAGAGCTGCCCTGTGTCACACCCAGAGGAAACACTTCTATTGAGCATCAGTGGACACGACCAGGGATGCCCCATCTCCAGCAACCACACCAGCCCACCCCTTAAGGAGAGCATGTTTCCCACGAGCAGATAAGGCTGTGGCCCTGAGAGGCAGAGGGGCTTGAGGGTGACACAGTGGCCCCAGCCGTGCGTGGCAGCAAGCGGCAGGTACTCTTGGTTTCCATGTGAGACTCCAGCACCATAACTCCATGCTCAAGTCTCCCCAGGGACCTTCCCCTTGCCTTATGATTACTCCTGGTCTATAGCTGAGCCTTGTATGATGGGATAAAGAAAGACCGCCCAGGAATACTGCCCATCGGATTTCAAAGAGGGTTTGCAAAGCCCCACAGAGCTGGCAGGCCCCTGTGGTGTGGGGAGGCACCGTGGGCCTTCTCTGCCCCGGGTCTAGTGATATCACAAGTGCAAGAGATTCCTGAGTTATTACAACATCTCACTCCCATGCCAAAGTGTCAGCTTCCCAATACAAAACCAAGGCTTTCGCCATGTCCTCCTCCTCTGCGCACCTTACAGCAGGCTCAGGAGTGCCAGGATGGAAGGAATCGTGTGGCTGACTGTGAAAGCCGCGCCGCCTTGACTCAGGCTGCGGCCTTGGTCCTCTCATTTGCCAGCTGGGAGTGGGCTGCTCCAGCCTCTCAGAGGTCCACTGGCTCTGGAAGGCACTGCACAGTCACAGTGATGGGGCCTCTGGGACTGTTTATCACTTCCGTCTTCAGAGTGCTACCAGGTCTCAGGCCTTACTCCTGAAGTGGCTATACGTATTACTTCACCCCTGATTACAGACCAGGCCTTAGGCCAGGCAAGGCCATGTTTCGATGAGGAAACAAGCTTGGCTTAGGGGACCTGCCTTTGCCCACACTGGTGTTTGGTCTCCTAGGTCAGGTCAGTCCTCACACTTGGGCTCCCAGTCAGAAGGCCTGGGGTAGGACACGGCACCCTGTGCTTGTCGTTCCTTTGCTGATGAGCTAAGTAAGGTCAGTAGCATTCCTACCCACCTACTCAAGAAAGCACAAGTGGGTCCTGGGGGCACCTGCTGGGAGTGCAGGGCAGTGACCCGCCCCAAGGGCACAGCGGGGCTTGTAGGGGTGTGCTCAGACCCTGGCTCATCAGGCCCACTCACCTCACCGGAGGCGTCCATTTTGGAAAGGGCCATCTGTACTTCTTCTTCAGTCATGTCCAAGTCAAAGTCCTTCTCCCAGTCCTCACTGATGTCCGTGCTGGAGCCTGGAGACACGAGCCACAGAGTGAGGGGGCTGCGGCAGGACGGGGCAGGGGAGGGTGCGAAACAGTCTCGCAAAGGGCCTGATAATTACGTATGTGCCTCCACTCTCACTTGGTGATCCTACTTTTAGGAACCTTTCCTAAGGAAAAATCCTGGGATCAGTTAGAAATTCAGTCAAAAGGATGTTCACTGAAGTGCTGTGACAGTGACGGATGCTTAAGAACAACCTTCCTGATAAGAATTAGAAAAATAGGGCCCGGCGCGGTGGCGCAAGTGGTTAAAAGGTCCTCACCTTGCAAGCCCGGGATCCCATATGGGCGCCGGTTCTAATCCCGGCAGCCCCGCTTCCCTTCCAGCTCCCTGCCTGTGGCCTGGGAAAGCGGTCGAGGACAGCCCAAAGCTTTGGGAACCTGCACCCACATGAGAGACCGGGAAGAGGCTCCTGGCTTTGGACCGGCATAGTATCGGCCCGCTGCGCTCACTTGGGGAGTGAATCATCGGACGGAAGATCTTCCTCTCTGTCTCTCCTCTCTGTATATCCGCCTTTCCAATAAAAAAAATAATAAAAATAAATCTTAAAAAAAAAAATAGGGCCCAGCATGGTGGCTTAGAGGTTAAGGTTCTCACCTTCAACGTGCAGGAATCCCATATGGGTGCTGGTTCTAATCCCAGCAGCTCTACTTCCCATCCAGTTCTAAGCTTGTGGTCTGGGAAAGCAGTTGAGGACGGCCCAAAGCCTTGGGACCCTGTGCCTGCTTGAGAGACCCGGAAGAAGCTCCTGGCTCCTGGCATCAGGTTGGCTAAGCTCTGGCCCTTGTGGCCACTTGGGGAGTGAAATCAGCAGATGGAGGATCTTCCTCTCTGTCTCTCCTTCTCTCTGTATATCTGACTTTCCAATGAAAGGTAAAATACATCTTAAAAAAAATTAGAAAAATAAAGATGTAAATTGTGCAGTTTCACAATGGGACATGGTGTGTGGTTAGGTGAGGCTGTCAAGAGCCCTACCGCATCAGCTCGGAAGCAGCAGGTTACTGCAGTGTGAGCCACTGTGGCCAGGCACTGCCGGGGAGCCGCCCACCGTGGTGACCAAGAAATGACCACGAGGTGGCTCTTCTCCACTCGCTCCCTCCTCCCCTCCCACCAGCACTAATCTCGACTAATCTTGCTCCTGCTCCAACACACTGGCTACACTCCACCTCTGGGCCCCTGCATGGGTTCCCCGAGACCGAGTCCCTCCCTTCCTAAAGCTTCGCTCCAGGAGATGTGGTGCACTTGCACTGTCCCATTTGATTTATTTATATATATTTTTTGTAAGTCAGATATACAGAGAGGAAGATCTTCTGTCCACTAATTCACTCCCCAAGTGGCTGCAATGGCTGGAGCTGAGCTGATCCGAAGCCAGGAGCCAGGAATTTCCTCCAGGTCTCCCACACAGGTGCAGGGTCCCAAGGCTTTAGGCTGTCCTTTAGGCCTCAAGCAGGGAGCTGGATGGGAAACAGGGCTGATGGGATACAAACAGGCGCCCATA